ATATATGCATATCTCATGTCTCGCTCCTACCAAGAGAGAGGAGAGATCCGCACCGGAATTCATCGCCTTCCTAGCACCCTATATATACATGTATCTTGCGGAATTGACGCCCAAAGCGTTCTTCCTTTGAAATGGAAGGACTTGTAAAGTTTTCGCCACATATACTTTAATGCTTAGGCTTCGGTTTGGTACTCTCAATCGCTATATACACATAACAACTATGAAAAGTTTTTCGTGTTCTACATTACAAATTTTTTTGTGTTATGCAATTTTCTTGTTTGACTTTATATTGTCTAAATAGGAATTTTAATTCACGTCCCTATTTTTATAAACATTCATAGTATACTTAAATAGTACAATTGAAAAACTAAACTTGTAAAATGAAAAATTCCTTCTAGGTATTAAATTATTTTTTTGCTAGATATCGACCGAAAGTGCTTTTAAATGTTAGAAAAATTGGTAGAAACTATTTTTTTTTGGTTCTAAATTACTGATTACTAAGTAAAAAACCACTGAAATTTAAGTTGAATTTTGTAGCTTATATCTTGAGTAAGTTTCCATTTAAAGAAGTTATATTTTATATATATATATATATATATATATATATATATATATATATATATATATATATATATATATCTTTTAAATATATATATTTAAAAGTTTTAATTTTTAAAACCTTGCGTAACTAACTTATAGGCCACGTAATATCGATTGAAAATCATCATAAAAAGCAGATTGAAAAAATGACTACAATAACTTTATAGGCATTTATTAACTGTTAATGAATATCAAAATTCATCGCTTTTTTGTTAAAGTCTCAATGAATCATTGGAGGTAATTCGTGACATATTAGTTTGCTGAAAATCGTGGAATCTTAATATAACGCATATGAACATGTATTGAATGTTAATCAAAACGTGGAACTTCGAGTGAATTTTTGGTTATGATGCTACTATGGTCACAGAATATTCTGTTTGAAGTATATCATCTATATTTACGAAATTTGCATATGTTATCGTACGTTCTAAACAAATCTTCAAAAAATATTCATTACTTATAGATATTATATCCAAATTTGAACATCTAAAAATTAAAGCGATAATTATCTTGAAAATATTCTAGAGCTAAAGTGCATTAGACAAGAATAAAATGTCACAACTCTAATTACATAAATACCTTTTGAAAAGGTTTTTTATGCAGGTAAAAAAACGTATATTTCACCGGTATGAAGTGTTCGTTATATTTAAAGCGTTACCTATCAATACATATTCATCCGTAAAGATGGAAGTAATTAAATTCATTTTTCTTTATTTTGTAACATTTAGATTTAAGCAGATGTAAACTTATCATACATAATTTTATCTTCCATCTTTACTTTATCTTTACTGCCATCAGTGTAGATTTGAATACTTTTTTACATTAGTAATTTAAACCAAATTTTATTGGATTATTTGATTTTGTCACTTCAAGCTCGATACTTATTATAAATAATATACTTGTAGTGAGTGTTTCACAGGTATGTGAGTGAATGAAATACGCAATTTGACTTTTTGAAAGGAGGAAAATTATTTTTAAGTATATTTATACACGTTTCAAATAGTCTTTTTTGCTTTCTTTTATATTTATAGAGTACTTCGATAATACAAATTGACATTTTAATATATTAAAAGACTTTCATTAATAGTAACTTTTCCTAGGTATGTTTGAGAAAGAGAGGACACTCTTTCTTTATTAGTTGAAAACTTTGACTCAGCTATAAGAATATTGATAGGAGTAGATTTCCTATATCCTAATGCTAATATTATCGCTGTGTATTATATTTGCTCAAGTTGTTTAACTAATTTCTTTGTTGTGGGCAAGTAGATACAGGAATGACCATAGAGTAATCTGTGATTGCTCTGACGTAACTTTTGTGTAAAGTGATTACAGTAATGGAATCCGCGCTCCACCAAATTCCTCGAAGATATTTGATAATTGAGGGCTCGATCGCATCCACTTATCACTTTATTAATTTGTGGTTTAAATCTCAGTTTATGGTCAAAGATTACACCTATAAATCGGACCGTCTTATTAGATTTAATGGTACAGTCTGTTTAATTTCTATTTTACTTTAATTTAGTTAAGACTGTCATAGTTAAAGAAAACCAAAAATATTCTTTTTGGGAACCAAACTAACATTTATTATAGCAATTTCAAGGCGTTCAAAGTTTTAAAAAGTTGCAACCTTATCCAGCCGCGAAATAAAGAGTTTAACTATCAGGTAAAGACGCTTGCGGCGGACGATTTTCACTTAAGCTGAAATCGCGTGAGACGATAGCTGGAGCGCCCGAACTATTCGAGAGGACTTTGCCGAGTCGCCTAGACTACCAGAGAGAGTTCGACGCGGCCGAGAATAGGAGAATACAGTTATATATATTTTTTTGTCAGCCAAGCAGACAAACTTTAATGAAAAAAAGATTCTTAAATTAACAGCGTTGGAAAAGTTTGAGAATCAAAAAAACCCGGCTTACTTATATAGTTCCAGCCGTTCAAACTCGAAAAAAAAAAAAACTAACGGACAATTTCTTTTGTTTATTCAGTGGGGCACGGTAACTTTCATACTATTTTCCTCTTTTTTTTACAGGCAAGCGACGTTCGTTTCAAATGAGAACAAAAAAAAATGTAGATTTCAGTAAATTACTATTTGACGTTCGTAACGAAAAGTGTATTGATTGAACTGTAAAAGGGGTTGAAAGAGGCCTCACGTATGCTGTTAGTTAATAGCAAGTGGCAAGCAAGCGAGTGAGCGACAAGAGAGAGAGAGAGAGAGAGAGAGAGAGAGAGAGAGAGAGAGAGAGAGTGATGCGGAGAATTAGTTGGCAGTACAAATAGACACAAGCAGGCATGAATCAAGCATACACAGCAGTTAAAATAGGAAACTAGACGTAGAGAGATTAACAGAGAGAAATGGGTGGGAAGTATGTGTAGCAGTCTCAAATTGGCTAAACGTTGCCCAGGCATACCTTTGTAGCCGCACGTGGCCGAGAGCAAGAGATAGAGCGAGATAGAGAGAGAGAGAGAGAGAGAGAGAGAGAGAGAGAGAGAGAGAGAGAGAGAGAGAGAGAGAGTGAGGGAGAGAAGGGAAGAAAGAGGGGAGGTAGAAGCTCCAGAAAGCCCCTATGTGCGCAACTATTGCGCCATTAGAGGCGCGCAAGTGCCACGGTCGAAGTTAATGACAATTTTCACCTCTCTAGTTGCTCGGCGCGGGCGCGCGACCTTTCTGTAATTAATGCAGCCGCCATTCCGACGATAATGCGTATAAGCGCACGCGGCCACCAGCCCCTCTAAGTGGTTAAGTGAATAACTTCGTCAGAGGGCTGTGTGTGCTTCTCCTACCCTCTCTATCTCTTATTTCTACTCCCTTTCCTAATCTCTCTCTCTCTCTCTCTCGCTCTCTCTTTGTCTATCTGCGTACACGTACGCTCATCTGCCGAACTTCTTCATACCTTGATGCTGCTGCCGCTAAAATCGCGATGTTCGTTGTACTCTACTACGAAACCAATATAAACCTGCTGCTTTGTTACTTCTTTTTTTCCGTTTCGAAAGGTTAGAGTCGTTTTGTTTCTCGAGCAAACACAATTATCCGGTCCGTGTGCGAGAGAGAGAGAGAGAGAGAGAGAGAGAGAGAGAGAGAGAGAAAGAGCTTGCGCGAAAAGAATAGTAGTGTAGTACGTGCGGTGCTTGGGCGTGTCCGACTGAGGAGTGTGATTCCAGAGAGGAAATTGAATGTTTTTACTTGAAATTATCCGAGCACACGCTGAAATGGTATTATACTCTGGCGGGAACAAATAAAAAATGATATAGGTATATGTGTACATGTAAGTACATATGATAGCCTTCGAATCTACAATTTAAATTCGTGCTATCACTTTCTGCGAATGTTTTCATATCTTTCCTTTGATATTTTAGTACCTACTCGAGTTGAGGACCAAACGGAATAATCTTATGTCTGACGATACGTCTTGCAATCGATTTTGTACTCAATTGTGAAAATATTTTACATGAAATCAGACCATGAAATATTATTAGAAAATAATAATTATTAATTATTATCGTGAAATTCCGTAGTGATATTAACGAAAATTGATATTAAAACGTTCGATGAAAGCGTAACATTACAGAATTTTCTAGCAATATTCTATATTTCATTTTTAACAAAATTAAACTCGGATTCATCTGCTCCACAAGTATAAATATAATTAAGAATAATATGAATTTCTTATCAAATTAATTCTGTTGTTTAATAGCGCACATTATGTGACAATATAATAATGGCTTCGAATCAAACAACTTTATGACTTGGTAACAAAACAATGGAATATCGGTTTTTATCAAATAGAAAAATAGCTCACTTAGATAAGAGACAAAGTAATAAAAGCGAAGCAACTCGAAAAATTCACAAGCCGTTAAGAGGACACTATAAAAAATTATCACTTTGAGCAGAATAACTTGCAGACTTTTTGGCGTAGTTCTGCAGTAATCAAAGGAATGCTGCAGTTGATTCGCTCGCCATCCTACAGCGAAATCAGTAAAGAATATTATTGGAAAATACCAATACCAAAAAAAAGCACGATAACACTGCATTTCTTACTCTACTACCGTAGAACTCAGGAATGCGGAAATGGCAAGCAATATTTATGTGGATCTGTGGGTTGCACTACCTTTCTTTCTTTCTCACAGTTGTTTTGTCGCTCGTTGTATGTCCGCGCCTAACAAAAATACAATGTTAAAAAAACATACTTCTGTCGTGATATGACTCTTTTTTTTAAAGCATGGAAAATACACCTTGTTTATACGGCTTCTGTTAGTCGTCTCTTTTGTGAAATGTTTCTTTTCACCTACAAAAGATCAAATAAGTCACCAAAGCGAGAAAAATATCAACTTTTATATATTATCATCTTAACGGATATGCAAAAAAAAAAAAAAAATACAAAAAGAAATCTATTGTTATTTTTCAGAAGCACAAGCAAAACAAGATACAAACGCAAACAACGTTATGTCAGTCGAAGAAAAAGGATACCGATTGGAGCAAGAAATTCCAGGAATGGTCAAAGACGTTTTAGCACAAAAAGGGGGCACTGCGACACTTCCCTGCAAAGTACGAAATACCGGAGCAGGAATTGTAAGTTTTGAATTGATCTGGGATTTTTATGACTTCTTTTATAGCAGTATATATATTTCACCATTTTGTATTCACGTTCACATACTATTTGCGAATTCCCAAATTCATATTACATATTTGGAATATGAGAGAAATATCGAGGAATATGGTTGAAGCATAATTAATTGTAGATTCAATCAGTATCAATGGCTTGTACCACCACCCGACTGCGTCAAATTCTCATTATAAATTAATTCATACAACTGAAGTTAATGAACGTGATATGCAAAAAATTGCAAAAAATTTATTCATACTGAATTATCTAGATTAAAATAAGTAATTTTGATTATTTAAAATATTTAATATTTAGAAGTTCGTTCATTAATTAGCTAACCTATTCCAATCAATGTATTTCTATTATTGCAGTATGTGAATTTTCATCGTTGTCTGACCAGATATTGACTCAAACTATTTAATGTTTTGTTGGTCGAAGTTTTAATTGATAATTCAATAATGATGCAATTTTTATTCATTACTCTAAAGTAAAAAAATCTTTGTAAAACAAAAAGTTTTTTCGGTAGTTTACTAAAATCGCACACGTCGAGGTAGCCAGGATTAAACTTGTTAGCGTGCTCGACGGCCTCTTGAAAGAAAAAACAACATGTTCGCTCGGCACGTGCGGCGAGGCAGTTGAAAAAAAAGACGCGACGGACGGAAGAACACGAGGTACGGAATTATTTTTGAGCCCTTCACAATCTGTGGATCGCGCGTTCTCGACGTGAGAAATTCCACTTTTATCTCTTGTCATCCTCTGGTGCTTGGCTTCGCACACTCGGATTTGCCGACAACCAAGTGAATGCGTCGCATTGCTAGGATTTACGTCAAGTTTGAGAAAATTTTTTTATTTTTACCGTTTAACCAGCTGCAATGACCCTTTCACTCGCTGATGATTCAGGTTACCAAACTAATAGATATCTTCTACTATTATTATGCAACTTTTGAGAATAATTAGTGCGATAAGAGATTTTTTATATACATTAAACTTCAAAACTTTCTTCATTACTAAAAAATAATTTATGTTTATCATGAAAATGTCAGTGAGCTATCTGATAGTGAAATCATGTTTGTTTCGAATAATTTAAATTATTGGGTTGATCTAAATTTTATGAATGTAGATGCAATTAGCATTATTGATAATTTGTCTAAAATCAACCACATCAGTTGGTAAATCACGAATAATAAACAAATTAATAAGAGCGAAGATCATTTAGTATACCCACGTAACGATAAGAAAACATTTTTAGTCGCGAATTCGTTCCAATTGATTGCGTCCCTGCGATAAAAATAAAAATATACTAATAAAAACAAACGTGAGACTTATTTTTCGGTATTGATAGTCATAGACGAGTTGTCTTTTACTTTCTAGAGCGTCAAAATATTTGGTTTCGTTGCGAAGAGAAGCCATTGTAATAATACCATCCAAAATAATAAACACTCAAATCGAAACCACACAAACCTCTGCCCTACGCAACGTTATGCACACAACTATTATGTTGCTTATCATATCATTTAATCAACACCTAATTATTTTTTGCTGATCCTTGTAGCACTTCTCTGAAAGCATTTACTGTTTATACGCCGCATAAAATAACACATAAAGTGCACTCCATGAATTTCCAAAAGCATAAATCACCTAGCAACCCAAGTAGAAAAAACGAAGATAAGAGGCTAAAACGCACCTACACACACACAGGGGAAGAACTCACGAATCGGGCAAGTATGCCAGCCGAATTCGTGTAGTTTCTCAGCCGCAAGATTGAATTAGTTGGAAAGATTGCAAAGCGAGAACGCGTAAACAAATCGAGATACACTAAGTTGGGCTTGAACTTAACCTCATTCACGGCAAACTTCTACAGTATAGCAAGGTAGCGCAAAGCTGGGCTGGGCTAGCCTGCAACAAGGTTAAGATCGATGATGAAGCGGTACTCTGGCGACTCTAATTGCGGCAACGACAGACGTGACCAGCTGCCGCCAATCGAAGCTCCAACGATCTCTTCAGGTGCTGATATAGACGTTTGCGGATTGAGTTTCCAAGTAATGCCATAGCTTGTAATTGCGACTCTGTTTCTCTACCCCCCCCCCTCCCCTCCCTAACTAATTTTTATTCCGTTACTTTAAACGATGCTTCCTCATCGAGTTAATTTACGCGAATGAAGATATGTATATCTTGGCTGTGATGTCTTTGAGATTAGCAAGCAAGGTATTCACAATAAAAATAAACACAGGCAGGCAGATGGCTTGCTGTACTTGGAATAATAATATAAGAAACAAATTGTGACACAGGATATCCTCATTAGTAACGGTGAAGTGTGTCTAGTACGTTTATAACTTGAAATGGCGTAGGTAAACCAAGATTTTTCCTTTCTTCTTCAGAATTTCTTCCTTATCTTGTTTTTACCTCTTTTTTTATTGTCTCTTAATCTTCCATCCAATTTTTGTTCGCAAAACGTTTCTGTCGCCCTTGAGATCTCCTTTTAACTTGTTTCTCTCCCTCTTAAAGTCCTTTACTTTCCTACCCCCCGCCTTTCATTTCTCAGCGGTTTTATCCGAGTGTACGAGCGTCTAGTATCTGGAAATCTCCTATCCCCGCGAGTGGTAGAAAGCTGGCACAGCCATCCAATTTTCATTTCCGGCCGATTCGCACGCATTCGCACGTGATTCTCATTTAATTTCCGTTTCCTCTTCTGCCTCCTCCGCTGCCTACTGTGGGCGCAGCAGCAGCCTCTCTGTCACTGAATCGTAACCTTCTTTATTTATCCCCAACCTCGTCTTCATGCGCAACACTTTTGTGTTATTTTTCACGTTCTTTATCTACTTTTACATTATTTTTTTCCTCCGTGCCACCTTGTTATTCCTTACTCTCAACCTTCCGTTTACCATTCTTAGACTACGTCGCCTTCGTTTCAACTCGATCTTGCGCTGTCATTAATTTTCTTTACAACCTCATTTTCTGCTTATTTTATTCTTGCTTGGTTGTCCCTCTCTCTCTCTCTCTCACTTTTTCTCTCTCGCGTGATTCTCACTTCAGTTACTGTCTACCTTACCTATTTTTATCTTTATCTCCCTCGAAGAGCAAAAAAAGAAAGCTATTTAGAGGAAAAGTGGGAGGGAGGGAGGAAGGGAGAGAGAGAGGGAGAGAGAGAGGGAGAGAGTGAGTTGAGATTATTTTTCTCTCTTTTCAAAGGCGAATGTGTAAGTTTTTGTGAGATAAAGTATATTCAATCGTTGAACTACGACGGAAAGTAGGTCAATTCACGCTTGACTGTTCAAATTTCACACACAAGAAGTCACATTACTTTCATGAGCTGGGAGAGTCTAAATGACAATAAGTGATTGCTGGTTTAACTGTAAATTACAAGCACTTATGTATCATAATCGTAAAATTTGTACGCATTAAGCAGACAAAGTGAAATAAAATCATAGATAAATAAACAAGAGCAGGCGTAAAAAACAGAAGAGGTGAATAAATATTTGACAAATGAAAAGCGCACTGTTCGCCAATAGATTAAATATTATAAATTGTTATCCGTCAGGAGCCAATTGGCCAACTGCGTATTAGTAAAAAAGTTACAAGTACTCGCGAGAGAAAGGGGGAAGCGAAATGGAGTTTATCGAGTTTACATCTACACCGGGGAGTAAGCTAGAAAATTACAGCACATAGTATACCCGTACGGACCATCAATAACGCAAATACCCATCGAAAACTCAGCGAGCAACAACAATTGAGCTTTCGCGCTTCGGCGAAAATCGCGCCTCATCAACTATCAATGAATACGCCAGGGCTTAATTGGCGCACTGGACGCATGTATTATGGAGCCGTCCAGGGATTCCCGCACTCTCGATTAGCAAGCCTGTTTTTGGGAAATCTCGATGTCTGTACGTGCGTGTGATTATACCGCGTGCACGCGCTTTTTGCAGGTCTGCGTGCGGGGAAATTGGTTCGCGACTGAAAATTGAAACGCGTCAGCGTTGTTGCGAGTCCGCGAACACGCAGTTGCATAATTCGACCTATGCCTTTTCATCGCATTGTTTTGCTGTATCTTTGCCATCGACCGCGCGCCGCGTCAAGCGCGTAGTCAACCAACGACTAGGTCGAGTCACGTGCTAGCATGGAGAATTCATTGGAAGTGACACGCGTGTGACGAGCCGTGAAATAACACGCCGTGTGCTGATGAAAGTCATTGGCATTACGCTATGTTCTGTTATCAGCGTCATAGAATTTATCTATAAATTCACGTCAAATATATAGAAAATAAGTGCAGATTGACTAAAACTCTTCGCCAAAGCTCAACCTATAAATTAAGAATCGTCAAGCTGAAACAAAAGACGACGCCGACATTATTCGACTAATAGTTTTTGCTTCGGAGTAGTATGGTATTATAAATTCATTTGCGGATAAGTGATAATAAATATTCAATTTTATTGACCTATTAAATTATGGTTACTAAGTTTCAACGCTCACGCTTCTCAATTCTGAGAAGCCTTTCCACTATCCTATTTTTTCCTATCTTGAAAAATGATGAGTTATCGATATCCAGCGTTGTGATTGGTTGATGCTAAAAAAGACCGTTAAATCTTGAATTGTCGTTTACTTTGAAATATTTTTATTATATATTTATAAGTGTGAGATTGTTTTTGGCAGTAAATTCAATTTATAAATAATTAACATGAATAATAGTCTACAAGAATGAAAATGTATCGCTTCGAAATCATAAGACATTATGTTTTGAAATTATCATTATAAATCATTAATTTTATAACCATCTGTGATACTGAAATGAATTTTGTCGTTGATAATTTGATAAAGAGAGACAGAAAATAAATAGAATAAAATAGAGGAGAACATATTTTTATCTTTTGTACATTATAAATTGAAAAGTATGCGAGCAACGGAAACAAATTATCAGATCGTTAACCACGTTAAATTTAAAGAATATCTATGGGTATTTTCATAGAGGCAA